TATATATATATATAAAGAAAAAAAGTCGCGAACAAGAGGGTGCGTAACATCGCGAGACACGAGATCAAGTGAATGTCGTGATCACGACGAACGATGTGTGCGCACTCTTACTCTCACCGAGATTAAAATCGATCAACAAATTAGGTAAGGTAATTAGCGCTTCCGCGGTTCGCGACATCCTATCGTCACCGAAGTTCGTAAACCTTCGTCGTGATTATCCTACACTGAGAAAAAAAGAAATTGTTTGAATGGGCGAAATTATCTTACCTCAAATAAATTATAGATCAACAAATTACATGACTAATATAACAAGCTAGTCGATTACGTTTGTATATTACGTTAATTGCGTAGATAAATTTTAGACATGATATTACTGTACAAGGGGGAGCTATTTTTTTGTCCGAACAATTTTTTTCTCAGTGCAATGTTTTATTTCAATTTTCTCTTCAATTCGTTATAGGATATGTTCATTATTGAATAATTGATCAATAGACGTTCACTGAATACATGTTTACTTTACGTGATGGGCTTTCTGTGATAAACTATTACCTAAATTTCAAAGTAAGAAATTAACCAAAAAAAATCGCTGAATATTTACATTATAACTAGCGTGACTATTATTTTTATTATTTTATTTCGTAGATTATGTTATAATTAATTATTTATTTATATGCGACTGATAAAAACTTTGTAAGTCAAAATTAATTTCGCGATTTTTTAATGTTTTTAAGATTTAATACATTAAATTATAGTAGTTAAATTCAATACATTAAATTCAATAGTTAAATTTAATATATTAAATTCAATTAATATTATTTTACATCTAGTGTTTTAGCTCATCTTTAAGCATTTTCTTATCTAAATTTTTATTTAAAAAAAAAATTAACCAAAACGGTCGATTATTCTCACTTTTCAACTGTAAACAGTTAGTTTCAGACAGTTTCTTACGGCTTAAAACTTAAAACTTAGGTAATAAAAATTATTATAGAAAGCTCTTTAAAGTAAAGCGATTACATTTTTTCCGGAAGAAAAAACATAATATTATTAATTATCATATGGGGAATATTTTTTTCTTAGAAAATGAATGGGTTGACATAATTGAAAATAGCACAAAACGTTCCATCAAATTAATAATTAATACGATGTTATTAAAAAATGAATGTTGATTTTATCTGAGCATCGCATTTGTGCTATTAATCCAAGGCTGTTACATACTTACCTCGATTTTAGTGTGATAGATCAAAGTAATCATTCACTAGAACTTTTTCATTTCCTTACAAAGTCAGTTCATCTCTTCTATCTTTCGTTATAAATTCCAAATTATTTTCACGCGTAAAATCCAATGAAACATCAAATATTTGAGAGAAATCATATCTCGAAAGATCTGTGTGACGATAACTTTATTTTCACTCAACGAAAGAAAGAAAGAGATCGAGCTGAAGCGATATGCCTAAGCGGTCATTCAATGGTGCATTTACCTCGCTGATGATTTGCATTTCAGTTATTACACGATATCAGCGGGATATCACAAAGTCGTTTGGAGCCCGCGACTTTTCCCCGGCGAACCGCGATCGCGCCACGATAAATGTTGCATGAAATGAATATTAAGAGTCCGTGTAAAGCCGTCGCCGCACGAGAAGGATCGCGGACCACATCGAGCGCCCTTTCATTCTTTCTTCGTCATCGAAGTGTAACTTGAGGACTCGTGTCGGGCGTCGAATTTCGTGGCAAACAATATCGATCGTTTGAGTATCAAACTGGTGCAATCGGGCGATAGCTCTCAGCGATAAAGCAAGGGAAGGGGAAATTGGCAGAAGAGTATATATTTACAACGATGAATGAGAAAAAAAATGAACGAGGAAGAATTGGGACGAATCAAAGGATATAATTTATTATTATCCGACAAGAAAATAATCTTGTGAGAATAAATATGAAATCGACATCGCGCAGAGAGATTTTCTACGAAAATAATTTGGTATCTTTCTTCTCACGTTTCTCATCGAGAATCTCGAGATCGATCACGTATGGGTAAATAGAGACATTTGTCGACCTGGTCGCGTCCTCGAAGAACACTCTGGGCATTTTACACTTTATCCTGAAGATTTAAGGGCTACTAGGAAGCAAAGTAATGTGCGATCACAACTGCATCATGTCCCGCGTGCGGCGGGGTTTAAGCGATATAACAAGAAAGGGAAAAAAAACGAAAAAAAAAACGGAGAATACTGTAAAACAAAAAAAAAATATTTCGTACGGAACAAAATGCACAAAACGAGTTGTACCTTCTTTTCTCGCAGAAATCGAAAGACCTATCTAACCGAAAGTCTTCATGAAACGCGCAGAAAGCACACACGAGAGAGAAATATATATTATTATATGAATATATATGAGATATAAAAAAATTGCTAGTATACCTTGCAGTTATGCGAATGTTGCATTGTCTAACTGTTTGTTCCATACAGATCCAGATGTATTATTGTATCCGATGGAGTATTATATATCAAAATATATATAATATATATCTATATATATTACGATCCTCCCGTGGGACATACAGAGTTTTTCCGCTTTTCCCAATTTTTCCAGTAAGTAAAATAATTTTAAATCATAATTTTAATTTCATATGTTTTAAATCTTTTAATTTATCTTAATTATATTCTTTTTCAATCTAACTCGAGCAATCTGTAGCACACCATTTGCTACATTAGTGCAACAGAAAAAAAGAATTTATTCTTATAAAAATAAGAAAATTTTATGCCTTTGTCTATATTTTTTATTGTTGTTTAAATTGCAAATAACTAAATTGAAATGAATTAAGTCTGTGCATTAATGTCTATTTCAATGTAAATTAATTTTAATTTCGGTTTAATTTATAGGGATGAACTTTAAACTCTGATTAATATAATAAATGATTAATTCAATTGCCACAAATGTTTATAGCAAAATTTTTAGATATATTTAAAATATGTTATCCGATTATTATAGCTTTTCATGAATATAAACTAGAAGAAATTCAGAAGATTCAAATTTTGTTAAATCCAAAAAATTATATATAATATTCTGTTTAAAAAAAAATGATATCTTCTTAACAAAAGTATTGTAAAAAATATTACTTAATAAATTAATAATTAATTAAATTAATTGAAAACTAATCAGTTTATCATCAGAGGGTAAACCAGGGAAAATAAAAAAAATCATTCCTTGATTTCCACCATTTTGTAATCTTAGCGTCATCTACAGGCAAAATGTAGAACTAGCCATTTTCTTAAGTTTTCTCTGCAGATAACCTGTGTATCTTGAACAAAAGAGAGAAAATATATTTTTTTAATAATTTTTTACAATGATGATACATTTGTTTTACATTAAATGCAGAAAATGTAATAAAAGCCGAATAAGATAAGCTGCAAACATTTCAATCTAGCCTTCTTTTTCCGTGTTATGCCATTGGTATGAGGAGCACAAGAATGTTCTATCATTGTGTGGCGCGCGTCTACCAGTGCCAGCTGTCAGCGTCTGCCGGATCAAGCCACAAACAGATCGAAAGGTTATATCGACGATCAGGTATAACATCACATAAGTAAGTGTATTGATACTTTCAGTAAAAATTTCGCTCGGTTTAGACTTTAGATATTCGTGAGATGGGATAAAATATTTTTTGAAAACTCGAAGCTTCATTAGATTCTATCTTCGGAGTAAATGCCTTGGAGTTAACCTATTGTTTAATTGGGCGCGAATAATTCTATTGTGTGTAATTAAATATACGACGTTAAAATGAAGCATTATTTCCTATAAAAACTGGATATACTGAACGATAATTCCGTTTACTCCGATTACATTGGACATAAACTTAATTGTTTTTGTGTAGGTTATGTTATGAATTTTCTTAATTCTTATCTATCCGGACATTTGTTTAAATTTAAAATATATTTATCTTCCAATGTGGAAATACCTTTAGTATGTAAAACAAGTGCGAAAACTTGAAATCGCTAAGATTACGATATAGAAGATCGATCATATTTTTTACCTTATTTAAATCTTATTTACGTTTTCATCGCAAACTCAGAATCCAGAGAGGTTCTCTCAAAATTTTTTCTAAACATCTATCAATTAAATGCCTTATTTAACTCATAATTGAAATATATAGATTCTGATAATCCTGGGATATTTTCCTAATTTTTAAACAATTTTTAAAACAGCGTTGATATGAAATAATTTTGTTTCACAATTTTATTATTTACAGTTTTATTCTATATTTATACAGGCTAATTATTGTATAATATGCCAATTTAAGTATTATAATTTTTTATATAGTTGAAAATTTCAAAACTTTCTGAAATTAATAACAACAAATTTTTATGAATTCTGAGGACTCGTGTTTCTTTAAAATAAAAAATATGCATTTCCATTATGAATTAAATACTTTTTGCTAAGTAAACGAACTTTTTATTTATAGTACAAATGCCAAGCGTTAAAGATGAATCAGAAGGTGAAGGGGAAGAGATGTCCCATGACAGTAACGAAAGTAACCAGAGTTCTGGGTCATGTGACAGTAGTCCAGAACATACTGATAGCGATGATTCATCAGAAATGGACGAAGACGAATGTGAAAGGAGACGCAATGAATGTATGGACAATTTGTTGGATTTGGAAAGACAATTTACCCTACTCAAGGAACAGTAAGTAATATACACATATTATATATTTAGCTTTTTTATATATTATACTCTGATAACATTTTTTTTATTAAAGGAATTTTATTAAAGGAACATTAAAGGAATAATATTTTTTAAAGGAATACATATGAATATGTGTTTTAACAAATATCATTTATTTTAGATTATATCGAGAAAGAATTACACAAGTGGACACAAAGCTCGGTGAAGTTCGTGTTGGAAAATCTGAGGAATATCTAATACCACTGGAGCGACTGAAGGAAAATATGAAAACGAAAACAGAAGTGGCTGGAATATTAAAGCAATACAGATTACAAAATATCCAGAATAAATTTCTAGCAGAAGAATTGGCCGCTTTTCAAAATTTTGAAAGTGAGAAAGGCTTAGTCTGGGATTGTATTCATAACGATCTACAAGAAAAGATTCGTCGTTTAGAGGAAGATAGGAATAACGTAGATATACATGCGGATTTATGGCTTAATACAACCGGTAGAAGACGTAGGAATCATTCAGAGAGAAGACGAGCAGTTTCTGTCGCAGGTCCTTATATCGTTTATATGCTCAACGACGCGGATATATTGGAAGATTGGGCATTAATAAAAAAAAGTCTAGGTAGTCGGAAAGCGGAAATAATGTAAATTATGTTTTGAATACTTTGAAGAACTGTTGAAAATAGTTTCCTTACATTATGCGCCCATCTTTGATATGAACAGGAATTTCGTCCAACCGGAAATGTTCTAAAATTAGATCAACAACTGACATCTATTAAGTATCTGTGCCTTGATAAAAAGTAAGAGTAATTATTTATTAATCTAAATAATTACCGAATTAAAATATCCTATTCGCCGAGTCGTACTTCTGTGGTACATTAGTGCAGGAAAATTATTTACACTTGTGTCATCGGAAGAAACAAATTCATAATTTTGAAAAAAACGGGTATTGTCTACATTAGTTTCAATTAATACGAAAATTTACATCATAAGCCAAACAATTATATTAATTCAAATAACTGGTTTTTATATTCGATATATGGACATTATCTTCTCCTTATTTATTTTCATTTATTTCAAAAGTCTCTATTTCTGCAATTCTATTATCATATTTACTTTATATTTTTCCATCTCCCTAATATCTTAAAGAAATAAGAGAAGCATAAACTCTTTATTCTTTCTACTTTCTTTTATATTTAAATGGATATCTGTGCTTCTTTTATCATCTTCTTAATGAACTAAAATATTCGATGTCTCCAAATCGTTGCAATTGAAAAATGATTTCATAATTTTCGTTTACGATCTAGTCGGAAAAAATTTTTATTCTAATATTCCGTGCTTGGAACAAATAACCGTGACATGTAATGTCATAACAAAATCTTATCCATATTGTAATGTATTAGAATTTTGTTTAAGCGTGCTTTGTTTACTCAAAGCGAATGTAAAGAAGAATTATATAAATATATTTTATTATTATATACTGTTTAAATATATCTCATTATTTTAGTTCGAAATAGATGATTTAGAAATATAGTAAAATTTTTGTGTGACATTATTATTAGTAGTGTAACACAATGACTGAGAAAAAGATTCATGCGAAAGAATTATTGTATTATAAATAAAGTGCATTTTAATTTTTTACAGTAGTATATCCAGCAAATTATGTGTTAACATCGTTTCCAGCAATTCTAACAGTTTTACATTAATACAATGTGAAATTGATTTAGTCCTAAACTCCTGTCAATGGAACCTGTAATAATAACAACAAAAATCAAGCAGCTATACGGAGTTCTATAATTTTATTTTGGTACATTCATTTGTTCTAATTTTTGTTAATATGCCATTTCAAAATTAGAGTAATGAAACAGCTTCTTTTAGTGTAACATTCGGCAAAGTTTCATCCAGCTCAATAATATGAAATTTCAACATAATTTTTGAATCTGCATCCCGACGTAGATGTGATTAAGTTGCAGTTGATTAAGTCGTTCGAATAATTAGGAAGAAAGAAGAGATTAAGAGGGAGAGAGGAGGGTAATTTTAAATGTAATTTTTATTTAGGCTATGTACAACACATACGTACAATACGTGACCCTTGCTTAAAACTATGTTACGCTCGTCCGGTATGCATTTCCACTTAATTTTTAATCTTGCCCTCTCAACACAACGTGACGCGTGTAATTTCGTGTGTTGGACGCGTACGTGTCCATGCACATCTTGTGTGTATTTGTACGTGTACTTTGTATGTATGTGTGTGTATGTATATCCGTGTATATATTAAGTGTATCGTGTACGATATGTTACAAACTTTTTAGGAACATTTCTCGTGGAATGCCGCGAGCGGTAATAATAAGGTCGCAGCGAAACTACACGAAAACAATGCGCAGTCACCTGCAGCTTCATCCTCGACTTCGATATATTGATTAGACAGTTATCGAAAAATGACACCAATATAGACGATTGTTGACTGGACAGACTCCGAATATTTATTGAAAGGCGCCAGGGAGAAGTCGCGAGTCGCGCGTTATTAACCGTTTGCGCCCCGCATGTGTCCATTGCAAAATCCCTGATGTCTTCGCGGAATTATTCAATATTGAGGTAAGTGGATATTTATATGTATTTATTACGAAAAAGTTTGTAGTATATTTCTCAAAATTGAATAAAACGTTAACAGAATGATAGCTTCGCTCAATAGCTTCCTTTCCTCGTAAGAAGCTATATAAAGCGCAATTCCTATTTACGTACCTGTAAATGTGATAAGATTATAACGGAATTAATATAAGATTTTATCGAGCCGGAAGCTCGAAGTGCAAACGGTTAAAGCGACGAAAGCTCCGATTCTGCTTTTACATGGGAAAGCATCCGGACGACGAACGATCGCAATAATTAACCGGTTTGCGGCAACAGAGTGAATAATGTACGTTCGGCAACCGTCTCATCGACGATCCGATTTTCATTGCGTGAATATTCGCAAATTACGTCATTGATAATACATAGTCGTTTGGCCATTCCATGCGATATCGGGCAATCGTTCGACCTGGAATCATTCGCCTGTTGATGCAATCGGTTTGACTATTACGAGGACAACATTATTGTTACACGATACGATCTGTTAGTGATAATTACATATTTAATCCTGGATATGGATGAGACAGAGTGCGATCTCCATCTTTCTCATTAAAACTCTATTGGCTTTGTGGCTTTCGTAATTATAGGCCTGTGTGCGTTTGTCCAGGCACCGACCTCTCGATAAGATTTTTCGCACGATTTGCGGTGCAATAAAATTTACGCCTTATTTATCCAAGGTTCAAGATGCCGACACACCTCCCGACGATCGACACTCGCGAAAAATGATGAGCAAAGTCGAAATCTCGTTTTTTCGCTTAACGAATTCAATCACCTTGTAATCACGTTTTATGAGTCTGACATTATGATGTCGGAGACTTTCTTAATATGAAATCGGTACATAAGCCGTCGCACACAAATTTACATGAACTGTTTAGCAATTTAGCATAAAGTCTGTCGGACAAGTCTAAATGTCTTCCTACTAAACACAATATTAACGTTATATTGGTAACATTATATCAATGACTACATTTACATGGCATTCTTGGTCGAGTTTAATAACATCCGTACATTGTAGATATGAAAATGGCCAATTATATTCATTTCATTCTTCACAGGAATAACTATAATTGTTTCATAACTACGGATATTACTAAATCCGATTAAGAGTGCCATGTAAATGTAATCAATATTATAATTTTCTACTAAACACACGTACACAGGTACATTGTTGAATAGAAAATTTCAATACTGATGTAATGTTACTGTTATATTATGTTTAATGGATTACTAGTATTTCCACATCGCATTTCCGTAAAATTGACTTGAATCTAAAAATATAAAGGATGCTACTCGGAACGATTTTGCAAAAGTATTTAAAAATTTAGCTAGATCAGATTTGAAAATAGTTTTGTTAGTTTATCCAAATAATTATTAAGCTTTATGACAATACTGCAAAAGGTTTTAACATTCTAGCAATCAGTTTAAGCGTCCTACATAATTATTTTCAGATCTGTATCTAGCTAAATTTTTAGATACTTCAGCAAAATTTTTTTTTTTTCGTGTTAATACTTGTTCCGATGTCATCATGTATCTTCAATAATTTTTATTTTTTTTCCATTAATTTTAGTTCGTAAAACGTAAAATCATCGTTTGTGTTTTCTATATAAAAAGGTTGATTTTGTTGAAATATCTAAAAATTTAGCTAGATACCGATGTGAAAATAATTTTGTTGGACCATTACAATAATTATGTAAACGCTCAAAAAAACTTGTCGCTAGAATGTCCAAACTTTTCCAATATTGCTTGATTCCTACGTAATTATTTTAATGTTTCAATAAAATTATTTTCACATCTGTATTTAGCTATGTTTAAATGTTTAAATACTTCAACAAAATCGTTCTTTCCGTGTGATAATTTTTTTTTTTATTTTTTAAGATAATGCAATGCATCCCTATATCGATGTGCGACGGCGTCTGATCCACACAAAAGAATGAGTTTCGACGATTCGCTCGTCGCGACGAGGAAACCCTGGCGCCCCTCAAATTTCGAACGCAAAACACTGTCAGATACTATCATCCCCCTCCAATATATTCTCCCCCCCATTCTCCCTTCTTGATTATCCAAAATCGTGGTCAACATAAGCACACAAATCAATGCCTAATATCATTCACTAAGGGTATGCTTACACTTTTAAAAGGACATTGAAAAATCGCATATGCTAGAGTATCTGCCGATTACGCAATCTCTATGTATCTATATCTCTTCTCTTTTACCAATTTATGTACAGTACCGTCCTCTGCCCTCCCTCTCTCGCCAATTAACGAAGGTGTGGCACGTATCGTTGTTAGAAGATTAACGGAATGTCGCGCATGTGAACGCGTTATGTGCGGTGCGACGCGTCTCTCGAACGAAAGGAATCAGACGCGGGGAAAAGAAACGGCTACACGTAGAAAATACACGACGATCTCGCGGCAAACGAGCTCTACGTCTCTGTACACGCTATTAATTGCAGGATACTCTTCGCTGTTTACAAATCGAAAACGTAGGGTGTCTCAGACACTGCGTATTTTCTCCTGCACGCAATAAAAAAAGAAGATGATTACGCTTTCTTTAAGTGTATATCTGTGGAAACATTCAAATTCTCACACAGCCAAATTTAAATGGCTTTTTTGTTAGCACAATGCCTCTCATTAAGCACGTGTCATCATATTACGCAAGGATTGCGAATTAAAGATTAAAATTATCAATAGAGATTAGACCAGTCAGATAATTTTAATTTTATTCCATTTTGTTCTGATTGGCTGGATTTCAATCTTCATTTTTTCGTAATCTTTAATCTTCAATATGTAACGTGACATGAGTTTCAAACTAGCTTCCAAACTAGCTTAATTCAATCTTCGTTCATGATACATACTTTTTTATTTACAACCGTTTCATCAAATAATAATAACTTTTAAAGAACAGCAAAATTAAGCTGTAAAATTCAATTTAATTAAAATGTAATTTAAAAATTTAATTTAATTTAATGAAAACTTTAATTTAATGAAAATATTGTTGAAATATTTGGATGTTTTTCTTAATCTTAACTTCATTGATAGGCTTCCCTTTGATAACATTCTGTTTCAAAATTGATGTAAAAAATTTGTCTTGCAAATGTTTAGTGAGAGGATTTGCCAATCGAGAAAGGAAATACGCGATACCAGAGACAATCTGTACGTCGATCGTAATGAATCGTAAGTCGCAGAAATTACACAAAAAATTACGAAGTTCTATGTGTGCCAATTGATATTTTGCAACACGATATTTCACACGCGCGCGATAATCGCACGTTGTTGAATTTTCAGAATTCAACGTTGTTGAATTTTAGAAATTCACGTTCCGAATAAACGTTCGAGATAAACGCACAGTCCCATTATTTCGTTATCGCA